TGCCACGCAACGATCCAATTGTATGCTATTGGCTAAAGAGGGGTTAATGGCGAACTATGCGTTCGCCGTAATCGCGAACGCGTGCGTGCAACACACGCATGTACTTTCACATTCAGTCCGTTCTCTTTTGCGATAGCCGATATCCTCAGCCGCGCGAGATGACTTCCACTATTATCCGAGAAGCGACAGTGTTTCACGCGAAAACGTGGTCGCGACGTCTGCGGCGAAAATGAATACTATTAATCAAATTAATACTGTTCATATTATTATCGGAACTATTAAATGTGAACATTGATTCGACGCTTCTTTGTAAACGTCGAGGAGTTAGTTTAAATTTGAACATTTTACCGCCAGTTAGAAGTCTTTCACTTTGTTGAAAGTAGAACGATTTGTTAAGAGGAATGGTGAATATTTAAAAATTTGAAGAATATAAGATTCTTTTCGTTAATAGGTGGTACATTTATTTTAACGAAGCAACGAATTTACGATTAATGTATATGGGAAGTTACGAAGTTTGTCGCGGGTCTACTATTTTTTATTAGGGATCATAGCTTGGCAACATCTCGACAGACTGTCAACCAACTTTTTTGCAAGATAAATAGCACTTTGGAAATATGAAATGTTGGAGGATCCAAGAACCGTTTAAAACAAGATTAATTATAATAAACTGAATGTATAAAGTGTATAGAAAATTTGATTGCTCGTTAATTCCTGTATTTTGAACAACGAATGAAAATCAATTAAACCGACTATTTCTAGAATAGAAATATTTTACAGATCTACTTTTAGCAGTGACTCCTTTCTGTTGCTAGTTTTCAGCTATAGAATATGTATATACATCGTAAGTTGAACAGATGGCGGAGTTTGTGAAGATCGAGTCTATGCAACTAGATTGAAGACTAGTTAATAGGAGAAGTATGCTTTATTGTTTCGAAGAACTGTTTAACACTTGCTGGCGACATCAATTTGGGTCAATTTTCTAGTGGTCAATGCATATAATTCTATTTTCAGTGAATTTACAGTCGTAGCTTCTTTGTTCTTTTATCACCATTGTCCTGCGGATTGTAAGTGCAGGAACATCTGCTGCATCTCAAAAAGATATTCAACTATCTCCAATGATTGTGTATTACTCGCTATTATTACTGACTTTATATTATAATATGTTTGGTTTATCCTATTCCAATGTTCATTTAAAACCTTCAAACATTTCTCAGTACTTTCTCGAGGTTGTCTTGCATTCGATAATAATCGAATACTTGTTACATGTTTTCATCACTTTCATTGTCCATGTAAAAACGACATTTACGACGTAATAATGTAATTGATGATATTGACTCCATGATATTAACGTTTGTCTGATGTTTGTTTGCAGGAATTATGACCCTTACGAGCAGCCCGTGTGAGCTAGACAACATGAGCTTGTTTCAAGACCTCAAGTTGAAAAGGAGAAAGGTCGACTCCCGATGTAGTAGTGACGGTGAGAATCTAGAATTTTCCTATACGTGATCCTTATCGAAATTGTCCGTTTTTCTTTCTTATTCTTGACCATCGCCCCACAATGCCGTAATCAAGAATTACAAATCACTTCCGACCGAAATAGAGGGAAATTAGGAACGAAGTAAACTGACTCTAACAATTTCAGTTTAGGGACACGAAAGAATTATTAATATGTAATTTGATATTCAGTTATTAATATTATATCATCAGATCTTATCGAGTATGTGAAAGTGATAAATTTTTGGTTGGTGTTACGTTACATCTCTATTCTACAGTTTCAATAAATAATGGAACGGAATACAATTCATATTCATCCCTAATCTCACTAATCATTCATATTCATTATTAGGTCGTGCATACATAGGAACAATCATGAATTTCAGACTCTTGTATTTCCCAATTAAGAATTGTTTGCTAAACGGAATTCTGGTTTGTAATATGAAACCAGAACTGTAAGTAACAAGGTATGCGGATACTAATTCATATCTGATTCAAGCAAAAGAATTCCATTTATTTCTGCATAAAAAATCCTTCCTCTGAAATGATAATATAACTATCAATTGCATTATCAGCTTTGATCGCAATTTCATTCCAGTAATAAATAGTTCACGCAAACGATACGTAAATGTTACATCCTGACATTTGAACAATTAATCCGATTGAACGATTCAATATTATACTCCGAAAATAGAACTGAAAAATAAAAGTAATCAGCTGTACTTTTATTTTCTATCTTCCACTCGAATATGTTAATACACACTGCTGCTTGAAAGTTCAACGTCACTTCTAATATCCACAATCATTTTCCTCTCCCTTCTTTTAATATATTATTCTCTTCCTCTTGTGTCTCTCTGTTCAACAGTTCTATTTTTCTTTTACTTTATCAACCAGTAAACATTTCATTACTTTATTTCTGTCTTCTCCATACAGTTCCAGTATTTCAAGAAATTACATAACTATCCACATCTCGGTAAAAGATAATATCATACCAAAGAGCACTGCATTACCTTCTTCGAATCCCACAGCGTCTATTCGAAATCTTTGCCTACGCGACAACAAATTTAACCGTTAAAACTGTCAGAGCTAGGCGAATCACCCTCGGTTCCCACGTTTTCTTTCGGCGAGCCAAGCGAACCAAAACTTTCGATATGCAGCGCGAACGATAAATTGTTCCCATCATTGTGCGCCCAATGCTATCGCGCAATTATCCGCGTATAAAATCATTAACGACGAAACAACCAAGACAATACGTATCGAGGTTTCAGCGGCGAGCGTAATCATGTCTTCCAGGGGGGATCGTATATCATTGTCTGGCCGTTGCGCGGCGTGCACGGGCAATATTTTCTTATTCAGAATACCCAGAACGTGTCATGAAAGTGGTCAGCGCAACCGTAATGATTAGTTGCCGCCCATAATGTCGTATTTGATACCCTTATTGCCCCGATTTTCATAAGCCGCCGCGAAACGAGTCTCGGCCCATCAATCACGGTTCATCTGTTTCGCTTTGTAAACCATGAAACGGTACGAACGTATCATTAGCGGGGTAACGGCGTTTCAGACGCGGCCGGTTAACGTTACGCCGCGAATTTATTACACGTCATCCCCGCGGGCTCGCTCGCGCGTCTACCGAAACCAGAATTCTTGAATCATATCCAATGGCGACGCGTTTCCACGGCTTTTGCAACGAATTAGACGGGAGTTTATTTAGATAACGGTGTCAACAAAGTAGTTTCTGGTCCGGGGCATCTAGCATTGCTGACTTAAAGTATTTCGATCGCGCGAATCACGGCTTTATTTCGGGGAGCCGGTCAATTTCACCGCGTGCGTTTTCGTTTCACACGAATTCTACAGTTGCTTTAATGCTGGAACCACTGTACTCGCAAGAATTGCGGGTTTTCTTATTTAGCAATTATTGATAGTTTCAAAGTATTCAATGAGCAAATGATTTTGAGAATAGTCTCGTTTAAATGTTATAACGAATGTCTGAGAAAAATTGTATTGCACAGATCAACTACGATAAATACTCGCTAGCTCTAGTGTTAAATACCTATTCTAATAGAAAACTAAAATTTGTATAATATTATATTTCCAAACCTCGAAACAGTGCAACGATTTCCTTGACAATTTTATTACGAAGAACGTTATCAAATTTTGATAAGTAGAACAATAAATTTTATTGCATATTCACTAATTTTATTATTGATATTCATTAATATGAATAGAATGTATGAATATAACATTATTCTCTGACTCTCAATTGTCGATCATGCTTCCGCAATTTCGCTGAAAAGATAGTAGGCACCCGGTGTATCGCACCCTCCTTCGTTTCATATGCGCATAAACATCCGCAGTACAATAATGATCAATCCCCGATTCCGTTACACGAGAATCGCAATTCCGGTTCGTTCTATAGATTACAATTACACCAGAGCTCCCTGAAACAATGAAAGAGCAACGTCACACGGCTCCATTATCGCGCACCCGTTCCACTTGGAACCCATCCCGAAGCACTCGAGGCTGCTTTCCACCATCCATCGGTAACACCTCAAACGACGTTCGTCTGCCGATAAAACTGTGTGTCTTAAGCTTTTCCCCATCACGGGGTAATCCTGATCCAGGGTCCGCGTTACACCCTGGGGCCAACCCCTAACCACTTCACAGGACCGTTCCTCCCTTATCGTGCCCCGAACGATCATCTACGACGGATCGGTTACCATGAGGGTAGAATCGAGAAATAGGGGTGGGAAACCGAGAAAAATGAGTGGAGGAATATGGGGATGACGGCGACAATGCAGGATAGAGAATCAGCCACGCGGTCTCCTAGACCTGCACTCTTGTCCAGCCGCGCCTGAACTGTTGCAAGCACGCGGAGCAAGACCTTCGCAACTACACTACGGATTCTTATGCATTCATCAGAAATCTGAAAGCTCGAAATGGCAGAACGCTCGCAACTCGAGAAAATCTACGAAACATCCAAAGCTTTATTTGCTTTCGAAGCTTCGCTTTTAGCAATGTAGCTCGCAGTGTCCATCGGACGAAGGAATCCTCTATCGTAACGCTGTCTTCATAATGACATTCCGAAAACTGTCTTCGCATGGACATCCGCGGCCGCGAAACGCACTGAACACTGTGGAACAGGTGTACAAGCAGAAAGAAAGTAAATAATTAGACAGAACAGAAGAGTGCCGAAACCTGAACAGCGAAGAGTGGCGCAAGAGGCAGCAGCCCGCCACGAGGCTGCATCGATTTTTCAAGAAGCTCGCATACGCGCCCGATACCAATGACCCTCGACCTACTGGCGATTAAAGGTCAGAGACTGGCGTTGGCGGGAAGCCGAATCGATGGCGGAGCCACGGTGAACCTGGATTGTTGTTATGTCGGAAGCGACCGGGAGAGAGAGACCAGCCTGCCGGGCAACGGGCACGCGCGCAGTTTCCGCGGTCCACGCGTGCGGTGGCTAACAGAGCCCCTCTTCCAGTTTCCACATTTCCGTCGGACGAACCCGTGCGTCCAGGCGGCGGCGACGTGGCACGCTCGTCCACGCGCGCGAGACATGAATGAGCTTTTTCGCGGGGCCGCGGGTTCCGGGATCGAGCAGCGCCAGCACCGAGAATCATTGATCCTTCTCCCCCCTGGGGGAGCCGTTACGCCGGCAACGTCACACGCCGAGACGCGTGCACGCCGCGGTCCGCTCTCGGTGACGACAGTAGCTCCCGGCCGGAGGCCTGGCCGATCCTCATGAATGCAACAATATGGAAAGACACCCGCGAGTCGCGGCGGGCTCGTCGGCGGAAGAGGAGCAAGGGATAGTGACAGATTTTGGGAGACGTAGACGAAGGGATCAGATTGTGTGCTGAAGAAGTTAAAAGTCGACAGCTTGAATGAAAAGTATCTTGGGCAGGTGGGATGTTTGTGGAGTTGTAGTAGTTTAATTAGTGAAACTGAGAAACGTAAGGGTTAGAAGACAGTTTCAGACAGTTGGCTGGCTAGAGCTTAGGGGATCGTTTGATCGATCAGTTTATCTTTATGCAACCGGGCGTCGGTTTGTACGTAAGATTGTGCGTTGAAGATGTTAGAGATTGACGCCTTGAATGAAAAGCATCTTGGACAGTTGGAGATGTTTGTGAAGTTGTAATGATTGAATATGTGAAACTGGGAGATGGAAGGATAATAGAGGACAGTTTGAGACAGTCACCGGCTGGCTAGGGGATCGCTTGATCGATCAGTTTTTCATTATGCGATCGGATGTCAGTTTGTACACTTGTTGCCGGTGGCTCCCGTTGATCCAGGCTCGCTGGTTTAGTTCCTTGATTCTGATTGGAGGGAACGGCGAAGAAGATTGCTCGTTACCCGCTCGCTGGAGTAATTGATTTTTATTTCCGGCGTGGTTAGAATGGATGACGCACGACGCGCACTATAGTTTCCGGGGTGTCTGACCAGTGACAGGCTGTACTACTTGTTTGCACTGGACTGATCGTGAAGCAGTGGATCGATGAATTTGTTGGAAAGTTGAGACTGTCGTTACGAAGAGGAGGTGTTTGCTATTGGATTGATGGCGACAAATGGAGATTGTCCATTGGATTTTGTAATTGTATTTCACGAAGAATGAAATTTGAAGAAAGGTCTCCTGAAACGATCGATGTAAATATATTTTGTAAAGGTGGAAACGAGGATGAATTATTTTTTAGACAATCTTCGTTCACGTGCCAAGGAGGAAATGTATTTTCGGATGAATTATTTTTGAATGTTTGTAAGTACAACGACGAGCTGAAGAAAATGGAGGACGAACAACGTGCAACGATACTTGAGACAATCGATGAACAGAATCGAGCTTAACGAAGAACTTGTGATAAATTAGCTACAATTGTAGGACAAGTAGATCGACGTAAAGAAACAGAAGGATTAAACGAAATATTCAGATCACCGGGACAATGAATTTTCCATTGAAGAACAACGTGTTCGCTGCGAACAAGTTCCACTGGATGCAGAACTGGCATTCGTTGAACATGGATCTGAGGACGTTCCAGCCATCGGCCAACTTCGCGTCGTATTCGCTCTCGTATCATCCGTACAACAATTTCTCGGTGTCTGCGTATCAGAATTACCTCGACTTCCATCATTACGTCAGATCACGACTGATGATCACGTCGTTCGATCATCGATTTTGCTGCTACGATTCGAAGAACATCTGCTCGTATCTGTTCGGTAAACAGCTTTAAGTTAATATATTTATTACGACTTTGTTATAAGCTTGCGAAAAGAGACCAATACAATGATAAGTTTATAATGAAACAGTCACTGATAATTCTTCATTCATTCTTCATGGGAGATAAAGATAATAAGAGATGATCGTTAAGGTGATTACTGGTTAACATTTATTATTCGGCGACAGATACAAAAGGATATGATATAGAATTATTATTTTTCCACACTTATTTGTCAAGAAATTCGAAATTTTATATAGAAATTAGCTTTATCTGTATTTTGTTATAAATTTAGATTTCATTCAAAATGTCGAGATGTTACATATAAAACGATTTTATATATTACTCAGTTTCCAAGACACTTTCCACTGGAGAAAATATAATCTAGTTCAATGAACCAAATAGTACAATACAAATCTACCAATACGAATTCTATGATTCCATAATTCCAGTAACCACTGCCACATTAACACAGCATCAACACATTTCACCCTCATAATAATTGTTAAAACTACCAAACACATTTACTACGCACAGCACAAACAATTACGAACTTCGATCAACCGATACAGCTGAATGATTAAACAAACTACTCGGAAATCTGGGTCGGAACAGACCCAGACACCGAAGTCCAGAGATCAAACACTTTTTGCCAGGAGTAGTATTATGACAAGCGAACGGCGTAATCGTTCGAGCACACGAGAAACCTGTCGAGATCAATCGTCAGCGCGCTCCAAGAAACCGCAAGGAAAGCAAACACAATCATCCTCATAATCGGCTTATTAATCGTCATCGCAATCATCCCGTTGATCACGCGACTCGTTACTCGGTGCCTGACATCGACGGGCCGATGAATGAACTTATGCGCTGCATCCCACAATCGCATTGTACACGACTGCAATCGAATGTTGGACGGATAACGAATTAAGGGAATTAGGGAACGATCATCCTCTAAGATCACCGAAGAGAGCACTGATCAAAGAAGAGGGCTGGCACGGACGGTAAACGAATTAATCCGCGGGAAACGATATTCACGGTGATCAGGCTATTAATAGCTTGGAAACTGGAACCTAGGTACCTACAATCACAACTCGGCCTTGTCAACTGCATTCCTTCCTTGACCTACACGAACAGCCGTGGTCTCACATCCTTTTCCACGATCCGACCGCTCTATCACGCTTTCTCGTGTTTCTCGGCGTACGTGTTAGCTTGTCCCAAAAGCTCCATTCGTTTCATTCGTACACAATGGACGCGCAACATTCGGTTGTAACGTGAATTCGGGAAGCGGATAACAGTGCTGGGTTTCTTCTTTATTTATCTATTTTAAGTCGAAACAACAACGCGGCCATTAGCGACCGCTGCGTGTTTTCTGAAGGAAAGATAGTTATTTAATATATATAAGAAACAAAAAGGACGGGAATTTTATATTTGTACATCCGTACATACATATAATACACTCACACTGTGCTGGGTTTTAAAACTCAATAGAAACGGCTTCTTATTTGTAATGGTTATGTGGTTTTTCAATGAATTCTAATTAAATTCTTTTTATCCTGAGTTATCGCATTATGTACGATTTGTGGGAATGGAAATAGAAAAATATTCTTTCTATTTTATTAAGGAAATTCTTGTTAATCTGAAGGTGAGAATATAGTTGGAGCTTTCTTAACGTTTTTACTGTGTAGATTTTAAAGATTAAGAATATTATGAAATAGTGTTTAGTCTACAGATTACTGTCTGATGACTCAAAATTATATTTTGTTGTTTCTCATGTCATCAATATTCTTATTTTTTCTTTTAATGCTACTGTTTCATTTAATATTGGATAATATGTAAATAATAACTAATTTCCAAACTTGAATATTATCGTTAAAATATTACTTATCGCGTTATTGTTACATTTAAATGCTAAAACCAGATGGAATATTGGAATTCCTATCGCGATTGTTATTTTACATAACATCTTTATAATTATTTTCCCTACTTTCTCTTTCGTTCAGAACGATTTCCTGAACCGTGAACACCGAAGTAATTTTGCCTTTTATTTTTTGAACGCTGCTTTCCCGGAGTCGGTTTCCTGCACTCACGCCCTTATTGCAGCTAACGCCTCAATTACTCTCGGTCTCGCAGCGGGATATTCCAGCGACGTGCACGTGCAATCCGAAACACCATCCGCACACCCTCGGGTGCGATACAAACGGGGAAAAGCGCGGCAGAAACCACGTCCGAACAATCTTAAAGTAATACTACACGGTGTGCGGTTACCGTTCCCGCCAAGTTCCATGGAAAACTACAGGAACTTCAGAGACACTCGAACCACGTTGTTAACTCACGTTAAGATTATATCGCTTTACCGCCTTTTCTATTAGCCAACCGAGTAAGTTTTCGCGGCTTTCCTTATCACGCTATCATTTCGATCCCTTGAATCCTTTACATGCCTAAATCAAAATACAACTTCCATTTACAGAGTGCTATGAACCAAATATTAAACATACCTTCAGATCAATGAAATCTTATTTAACATTATTACATTTATTTTATATTCTGTCCGAAGCTTTTCATTAGAAATATTTTAACATTCTCTGGTGAGATAGAGAGGATATTTTGTAAAATTAACTCGACGAGAAATCATACTTACATTAAGGGATAAAGCTACTTTTTTTTAATGTTTCTCAAATTGATGCATTATACGAAGTTTAATATTATGTATCGAATTTTATAGTTTTACTGTATGAAATCAAGTCATCTCTCGAGTGCAAAGAGCTAACTTGGATTTTAAGTTAATAGTTGGAAGAAATATCCTTGGTAATCATTCTTTATAAATCACGTTAAAAGCTGTTAACAATAATCTTTATTAAATCTGAAATCCGTGGAACTGTCGGATTTCTTGAGTCCATAGTCAAATGATCTTAGAAACTTTTTGAGATTCCAGTTTTAAGGGTATGAACTTTAAACTTTGCCTATGACAATAGTCCTGACAGAGAAGATGATTCATAAAAGTGAATGATTACCGGCGCGTTGCGCCCTGCTCGAACTCCCTGACAGCCGGGAACAGCGAAGCGCGCTCCTTTCGAAATCCGTCTGTCAACGTTTTAAAACTGCCGGATTGGCAGCGGTTCGCGATAAATGCCATTAATCATTGTGATAGACCACCGGCGCGGTTATACGCCTCGGTGATTAATAACATTTTCACAACGACTGAAATCCGTCGAAGACCAAGCCCATTAACGGGAACATCGGCGTTCAAGACGGTTACGCGATCGTTGAACCGCTCCTCGGTTGAAAACCAACGTAAGCGAACAAATTCGTCCCGCGTTTAACTTTCATAATATCGCGCGGCGAGTTAATTGTTATTAATGCCCGGCAAAACGCCGGTTGCGCAACGAGAACGCGGACGGACAATATGGTACAGGCAACAAACGTCGAAACGGAATGCAAATAACGTATTCATCTACATTAGAACAGCTCACGATTGGCGAACTCGATCTGTTACGACGAATCTTCGATTCTTCGGTGATCGTGGAATTGGGAAGTATTTCTCGATCGGCTGTTTATGTATAATGTATTCGTAACTTTGTATTATCTTAGTTTCAAATTTCAACAATCTTCAACGAAGAAAATATGAATTCACGAAGATTCACCTTCTTCTACGAATGAATCGAATAAAATTCTATATTCCTCGCGAGCGGTTCGAATAAATTAGAAATCAAACAAAGCATCGTTTAACCCGTTCCACTCAATTAGGTCCTTCGACGGTTTCGAACACCGTAAGTGCATAGAGTTTGTCATTCTATTAATTCCAATCTACCCAGACAAAGTCCAATGACCAGTTCGAGGACGTTCGTCTAAATTAGCACACCTACGAACTAGAACTCGAACTTCACCGTCGTCACCACATCTAACTAACTCTCCTCGGAATCATCCGACTCGGCTCATCAGTCATCTCACTAGAAACCTCTCAGATCATCATCACTGCCGCACCTCGAAGTTGAAAAGAGAGCCGTTCCGAAGCCAAGAGAAAAACCGAAAAACCGCGTGTCACCCGCGTAACACCGTGGCGGTCCCGAGTAAACCACGCGGAAACAGTAGCGTCGATTATAAACGTGAGACCAACGCCTTATTTCTCAGACTCCCCGGTATCCCTCGGATCAGCAGGCTCGCCGCTCGGGATCCAGCCGGCGGACGCTCCTTCACCCATAAACTTTCCTGCTCCAGGAGAGAGCATGGCCGACACCTCGACCCTGTCGCCGGAGGCTAACATGCCGGGCTCGCCGGGCTGCCCCGTGGTCAAAGTGAAAAGCGAGTATCTGCTAGGCATCCCGAGTCCGGGGACGCCGCGGGACCCTCTACGCGGCGGTGTCGCGGTGGCCGGCATGGAGGCGCGGGACACTGGGTGCCCGGACAGGGCGTCGCCAGACTCGGTCTTCCCGGATGCGACGTCGATGGTGGGCTTCAGAGTGGTCGAGGAGCAACAGCACCAGCAACACCA